GCAGGACGGCCCCGCCATCATTGCTTGAGACCGCTGGCGAAGGCACTGAGACGCCGGGCACGGCCGCTCCTGGAACACCGGTTCCTAGCTTGATCCTGCAAGCTTCCCAGTCGAGGCTGACGAGTCCTATGGCAAGTTCGACTATGTCCCGCACCTTGGAGCGTGCGAGAGCATTAGATGAAGAAGTTGCTGAACGGGCCGAACGTGGAGTCAAGAGACCTGCAGAAGGTCCACCTTTGGAAGCAGAAGAGCATGGCGCCCGTCCTGCATTTGAAGCCTTGCAACTCACCCATGAGGAATTGCAGAAGATTTCTGATGGGGCGGACGTGCATCCTTTGTTGAAGCTCCAGGCAATGATCGACCTTGATCGCGACCTGGGCAACACTATGGGCGAGCCAGACCATGGCACATGGGACGGAAGATGGAGTCTCTTTTGCCAGCGTGATTGGGACACACTGCAGCGCCTGGGAGCGCAACTTCCTTCAGGAGCACCTCATGATGTGCTGGCACTTCAAACCGCTCGCAAAGAGTATGTCTGGAGTAAGATGTCTCTAAATCAGAAGCAGCTGTGGGGTGAGGCGGCAGTGACTGGATGGAAGGCCTACATCGACAACTCTGCCGTTGAGGTCCTCTCGATGCATGAGTCCAGTCGGGTTCGAAAAGACCTAGCTCGTCGTGGCGAGCTTGATAGGATTTTGGTTCCTCGGTTCGTCTTCACCGACAAGCATGATGGACTTCGAACGGAGTCGCACCCGCTTCCAGTGAAGGCATCTTCGAGGTTGGTCGTGCCTGGGTTCAAAGACAGAACCAACTTGGAAGGACAACTCCGCAGAGATGCACCTACTGGTTCCCGGAACGCCCAGCACATCCTCTTCTGCGTCGCAGCATTTCATGGCTCATGGAACATTGTCTCCAGTGACGTGAAGTCGGCCTTCCTCAAGGGCGACCCCTACATCGACCGAGAGTTGTACATTTGCAACTCGAACTCCAAGACAAGTCCACCTCTTCCACTTCAGCCGGGACAACTTTGCCGAGTGCTGAAGGGTATCTTCGGTCTGGCTGATGCACCTCGCGAATGGTGGCTCCGTCTTTCTCGTTGCCTACAAGACCATGGCTGGACGAGGACCTTGGTCGATGGAGCAATGTGGTGTTTGTGGGGGACCGCTGATGATGCGGCGAAGTCGAAGGGCATCCGCCCCCTTGAAGGACTGATCGTCGCTCACGTCGATGATTTGCTTTTTGCTGGCAGCGCTTCTGCAGAGGCTTCCCTGAACAAGATCGGCGGCGAGCTTGGTTTTGGGTCCCAGGACTTGAACGATTTCACTTGGTGCGGCAAGCGCATCCGACGCGCACTGGATGGCACAGTCCGCCTGAGCATGATTGAGTACCACGAGAACCTCGCCGAGGTCATCTTGAGCAGGCAACGAAAGTCAGATCCTAGCGCCTTGCTGGAACCACATGAACACCGGCAGCTTAGAGCGATCCTCGGATCGTTGCAATGGCTTGTGGCCCAGCTGAGGTTTGATTTGTCTTTTGGTGTTTCATCCCTACAGGGTGAAAACCCCCCAACAGTCGGGACTATGCTCCGAGCCAACTCCTTGGTTCGTGAGTTCAAGCGCGCTGGAACCTTTGAACTGGCTTTTCGTCCGATCGATTACCGTTCAGCTGGCGTCGTCGCAGTCTCTGACGCAGCCTTGGGAAACGTGCAGCTGTCTGGCTCTTCTGACGGAGCTGCTTCTGAGAAGGTCTACTCTCAGGCCTGCTACTACATCCTGCTGGGTGATAGTGCCTTGGTTGACGGAAAGCCGGGACAGTTTAATGTCCTAGACACTCGGTCGCACCGAATTCCGAGGGTCTGTCGTTCGACCTATGCGGCCGAGACATTGGCCGCTGAAGGGGCACTTGATGCTGGGCAGCTGGCACGCGGCTTCTTGGCGACCGTCCTCGGGAAGGACATGCTTGGTGTTCGCGCTGACAGCTCCATGAACGCCGTGAAGATGACCGGAGTCGTTGACGCCAAGGACGTTTATGACAAGTCCGACAGTGACACGGCTTCCTTTGGTTCACAAAAGAGCCTGGCATTCACCATTGCCTGGCTCAGGAGCTTGTTGAGGCGACCCAACACCGCCTTGAAGTGGACAGCCACGTCCAACATGTTTGCAGATGCTGGAACGAAAATGATGAGTTTGGATCACTTGAGAAAGATCCTTAGCTCAGGCACCTGGTCGATCTCCTATTCACCGGAGTTCCAGAAGCAGGTCTATAAGGCCAAGTCAGCGAAGCCTTCAAAGAGCTCTACAGCATGCGCTGAGCTGCCTGGAGTGAAGCTGCATGGCGATGACCCGATGCTGCCGCATCTCCTGACGCTTTGTGAGAAGCGCGGATGGCATCACCAAGCTGGAATGGGAATTCAGGTTGCTTTCAATGCCAAGTCCATGCGGACCCCGACTTGAGGCTGGCACTGCTGTTGGTGAACTTCCCAATCAGCATGCGCTGATCCCTGTACCGGCAGAGGTGTTAGTCACCTTTTTCCATCCGATGTCCACTCAGCCTTTCTGTGGCGCAAGCTTTAAAGAAGAAGATAGGATGAATGTGAAAGACTGAGTGAGGTATCGATGCCAGATTCCCTTCATGTGCGGCCATTGCGGCCCGAATCCCCTCGGCCTTTGTACCAGGCCTTCAGCCATAGCTACGCTTCTCGGAAAACGTTCGATTGACTTCGCTCGACCCCGCAGTTCGTGTGTTGTCATAGAGCGGCCATCCACAATGATCTACCACGTCATCTTTGGAGAAAACTTGCAGTTCTCAAAGTTCTTGTCAGAGTTGTGGAGGATCCAATGAGGTAGTTTCTGCATGTAAAAGTCGCGAACCATTTCTGTAAATAGGCTCATCATCTCTGCAACCTTCTTGTCATACTCATAACTCATGTGCAACGTGAAGAATGTTGCGTCCCTAAACGCAAGCCCTTTGTTTGGATTGTACTCATGCCAGTTTGGCTTCTAAATGTGAACATCCATGCAAGAGATGTATCACGCTCAAGTGCTTCCACAAATCAAACCGCTTCATCTGAGCCCTTGCCATGATGGTGCTCCAATTGCGCCCAATTCCTTCCAAGCTCCCAGCCTTTGATGAAGAAATGCTGGTATCCGCTTATTGGTACCCTGGTTTCATACAACTGTTCCTCAGGCTTATGATTCGATCAGGTAAACAGGAGAAAGGTCCAACTTACAAAGGAACAGTTTCACGGGCATGTGGCACATCGCGCCATGCTCATCTCATAGCGCCTGCGAAACCCTGTGGCAAAGGGCCTCTCTCTCTTATATAGTATATATGTACTTGTTCCTAGTCTGACTTTGAAGACGGGCTCCAAATCTTCCAGTATTGAGGTGTTTAGAGATAGCGAAGGTTTGTTATGGATTTGTTGCTTGTGAGTGATCTTGGTTTAGCTTCAAAGCCCTTGCAACTGAAATCGCGAGTGGGTAAATTGAGGTGAGAACAAAGTGAAAAACAAGCCTTTGCATCCACCAGACTGATGAAATGACAAAGAACATCAAAAAAACATGCGCAAAAAAGAGTTATCCCGGCAAGAGACCCCAAACAGTGTGTGTGAGGTCTGTAAGCAGAAAGTCTAGAGATCTATATAGACGCATTGAGGTCCAGAGAGGTGAAGTGAAGGTGGGTGTGAGTGAGTGTGCGTGAGAGTGAGAGTGTGAGTGAAGGTGGGAGAGTGAGAGTGGGGGAGTGAGAGAGTGAGCGTCTGAGAGCACAAAGTACTGCACCAAAATTTGCACTTCGAGGTTCACCAAATGCTGCGCCTGCCACGAAATCTGCACTTCGAGGTTCACCAAGTGCTGCGCCTGCCACGAAATCTGCACTTCGAGGTTCACCAAATGCTGCGCCTGCCACGAAATCTGCACTTCGAGGTTCACCAAGTGCACCTGCCACGAAATCTGCGCTTCGAGGTTCACCAAGTGCTGCGCCGGCCACGAAATCTGCACTTCGAGGTTCACCAAATCGCTGCGCCTGCCACGAAATCTGCACTTCGAGATTCACCAAGTGCTGCGCCTGCCACGAAATCTGCACTTCGAGGTTCACCAAGTGCTGCGTCTGCTACGAAATCTGCACTTCGAGGTTCACCAAGTGCTGCGCCTGCCACGAAATCTGCACTTCGAGGTTCACCAAGTGCTGTGCCTGCCACGAAATCTGCGCTTCGAGGTTCACCAAGTGCACCTGCCACGAAATCTGCACTTCGAGGTTCACCAAGTGCACCTGCCACGAAATCTGCGCTTCGAGGTTCACCAAGTGCTGCGCCTGCCACGAAATCTGCACTTCGAGGTTCACCAAGTCGCTGCGCCTGTCACGAAATCTGCACTTCGAGGTTCACAAAGTGCTGCACCTGCCACGAAATCTGCACTTCGAGGGTCACAAAGTGCTGTGCCTGCCGTGCGCATTTTGGTACATGGTGGTCACTTTTCGTGGCAGGCGCAGGGGAAACCTTGTGTTTTGGTGCTCCAAAGTCGACTTTTCGTGACAGGTGCAAGGGATCGGAGCTGTTCTCGGACATGTTGGTGATCGTCGAGGAGCTGAGATTTAAGTGAATCGTGACTTTTGGACATGCGGCTCGTTTGCAGATTTCGTGGCACCACAACGAGAGCGCAGTCGCGACAAGCACACGCTCCGGCCACCCAGATTCCCCGAGCCTGCGCAGTCGAAATGCACTTGTACTGAGTTAGCCGGCGCCCGCGCGCTTCAGCGATCTAAGCATCAGCTTCCTGTCACCTACCGTAAGAACCCCTCAGTGTGCCCACGCTGTTTGGGGAACATGTGCAAACTCGGAAACGTGGCAGCATAAACTGGGTTTAGGCTGCTATGTGCGCACCTTATGCATTTTTGCACCTGCTGCAGTCTGCTGCGCTGCATGCCTTAAACGCATGCTGCATTCGTACGATTGTGCACGATATGCCGTTCGGTCCATTGAAGTGGTACAAGTTTGCTTGAAGGTGCAGGGGCGAATTGTGCAAAAGCTTGGCGCCAAGGAGTTTGAGAATACCATCCAGGCACCCTGCAGTAAATTAAGAAAAACTCCTTCAACGCAGACAATAGGCACCTGTTCCAATGAAACTGCATGTTTGAGGACGGGGCGCTGGCTGAGCGAGAGAGAGAGAGAGAGTGAGAGAGACCTTGATGCTGGACAGTGGTCTTCACGCTAAATGGTCTAAAGCCCTTGCACCTGAGATTAACAGCGAGGAAAAGATACAACAAGAAATTGAGCGGCATTATAGCCGGCTCCCTGGGCTGGCGATGGTTGCACTTTGCAGGAAAGCTGTTGCTTTCATATGATTCAATGATGTTTATGGCTCGAGGTTTAGTCAAGATTGAAATGGAGATTAAAAAAAAGAAGCTGCCATCCCTGCATTACTTAACGCGTGAGCAACGCAGCCTTTGCCAGGGCCCTGTTTGAGGCATTTTTTGTAGTTCGTGTTGTTGTTTTCTCCATTTTTCGGGGTTTGGGATCTTTATACAGGATGCGGAGCATTGCCAGCAGCCCAAACGACATGACACAAGCCGATCCGCCGATCAAGACTTGAGATGTCCCATTGCCACATATTGCCTCCTAGCCAGGATCGAAGAATTTCAACAACAACGCGATCAAGAAGAACGATCGAAGCAGGAATGCCTGCTTCACGTTGCTGAGCTTCAATCACAGGCCTTGGTCACAAAAAGGCTTCGTGCCAGGCTACGTTGGACAAGCGTTTTTATTATGCAGCTGGTGTGTATGTTTCTCCGGTTTCAGGAGCTAGAGGCGATCATTCGCACAAATCAGCAGCGCATGCAGGAGTGGGGGACACGCGTAGAAAGGCGCTTGACATTGGCCAAGAGAGCCTTGGGTTTTGGAGGAGCAGCAGCAAAGGGTGGCACAAGAGTTGGGGTCGCAGGCGCTTCAACTGTGTTTGAAATATGGGTCATCTACGACTACGACATGACCAACACAGCATGGCAAACTCCAACTTGTGTGAGTTTATCATTTTGATCATTGCTTGCTGAAATGATTGAAGGCCGAAGGCTAGTACACATTCGCCGATGGCCTTCATTGTTTTCGAGTCCTTTCCCCGCTCCCGACGCATAGTTGGCACCGCATGTGCTTACATAGGTTCAACATGCAAACAGGACGCCGTGGAAACCGAAGTTGAGTTGTGAGTTGAAAGGGTGTTACACTGATGGGCCTTAATATCGGCATAGGTATCAAAAAATAAAACGAGCATCAAAAACAAATAAAAGAGGGTCAACATAAAAATAAAAAGCGCATCAAAAAAACTATTCCTTGATAGGCCTCTTCTGCTGCTCTCCTGGCCCTGTGGTCTGCGGGTCCTCTGGTAATAAGGTCCCTTGGTCCACTGGTCCTTTGGTCCCCTGGAAGCCTTCTAGTGCTCAGATCTCGCTCCACGGCGTACGTGCTTTCGCCATGGAATAGATGGCCCGGGTTGTTGCTCTCTCGGAGTCCCGGCTCCGGCTGCTTTTGCTGGGGACCTTGTTGCTCCTTTTCGTGACCAACCTCCACGAGCACCCTGGCCAGAGGATCTCGACGGCTCCCATGTCTTTTAGAGATTGTGCACTACCCGGTCCCAATTCCGGGGGTTTCCAGATGCCTGGCTTCGAACATTTGCAGCTTTTGGAAACTGAAGGTGAGGGTAGAGCGCATACCAGGGTGCGCTCGAAAGGGGTTAGTTGCAACCAAGCCCCCGACAAGAACCACTCCGAAAAACCTGGACTAGGGCACCCCGAAGCGCCCCTCGGGGCAACACACCCTCCGGTCAAGCGAAGCTTCAAACGAGCTCTACGTCGCCTAGAGCTCAATGGCTTTGTGGTCTATAGAGGCAAGCTGCACACCTCCCTCCCTGTTCCTCAACCGCTGGCCACTTCCACTCCCTCTTTGAAGTCTACAGAGAGCCGGACGACCTCCAAGAGGAACAAACCTGGGAAACGTGCAACTATGTTCAGTTGGAATTGCCAATCCATGAATAGTGCCATGTACATCGAATTATTGAACTGGATCTACATCCAACAATTTGATCTTGCCCTGTTACAGAGCACCTCCTGGTCACTTGAGGAACCTTGGGAGACTTTTGGATTTGCTGCTTTTCCGTCGGCAGAGCCATCAGGACAGAAAGGTGGTCTTCTCACACTGGTGAACAAGCGCTTCTGCCCGATCCAGAACGTCAGCTTTGCCTCACCACGACCAGGACGACTGCAGCACCTCAGATGTCACTTGGGTTCCAACAGTGTGGATGTGGTAAACTGTTACCAGTATACAACCAACGTCACAAAGGACCGAATGGACCCAATCAAGTTTCGTAAACTCTTTTGGAATGATTTGGATCAGATTATATGCAGAGCTCCTTTTCGGAATGTGCTGGTTATTGCGGGTGATTTTAACTCGACATTACACTCCACCTCAACTAGCTCTCCTACGCCGGAGTTTGCAGATCTGGTGCAAAGAAGATCCTTGTGCTCCTTGAGGTCCAACGACAGAACACCTTCCTTTGTGGGTCCTGCTGGTTCCTCACACATTGACTACATCCTGATGCGTCGACCGCAAGCGGATCACGAAGCCAAACAGGCCCTTCGGCTTACTGGCTTTCCCCTGATCCAGGGTCGTACATACCCTGATCATTACCCAATTGCCTGTTCCTTTTCCCTGGGATGGAAAGCTTGGTATTTTCAGCATCAACAAGGCAAAGGGGTGTTGTCCAAACAGACGATCCAACATGTGTGGAAGGCCTACCAGGACCAAACCAACGACTGGCACACTTTTGAGCAGAGTGCCATGGACATCCTTTCCTCATCTACCACATTGGATGTAGAGGCTCCCATACCACAGCTGCTTCAACTTTGTCGCAGAAGTTTTCCAGCACATGAGAACAACAGTGCACCTCTTTGGACACAACATCAACCCCGATCTCTTGTGGCCAGGAAATGGAAACATCTCTTCTTCCTGAAGAACACTCCATCACTGGGTCTACGACATCTGGTGCAGGCCTGGTACCATGCGGTACAACATCAGAAACTGACCAAAACGCTCAAGTCCATGGGGCAAGAAAAAAAGAAAGAGAAGCTGTTGGCTGCCACACGACAGGCTACACTGGCAGCACAACGACACGACTCCAGAGGCCTGTACGAGGCCATCAGGACCTTAGCACCAAAGCAGACCAAACGGATGATTCGCTTCAGATCGCCAACAGGTGGTCTTCTCTCTCCTGCCGAAGAGATTCAGATCTTGAAGGACCACTTCACTGGGATTTTCAATGCCGCTGCCTCAGAGCTACCGCCGATGATGCACATTGACTTTCCTTTAACAGTACAAGATGTTGCATCCCAACTTCGACAAGTCGGTACCTTCAAGGCTGTTGCTCCCAATACGATCCCAACGGCCCTTCTGAAGGCCCTTGCTCAACCCATTGCTGAATGGACCACGGGTTCAGTCATGCCAACAAAGCCAAACTTTGGATCACGTGCATCAGATCTAGTTACTGCCATGCTCTCCAATGCACTGGACTCAACAAGGCTGGCCTTGAACAACTTCACGGTCGCATGTGTCAAGACCTCCGTCGAGTTGGCAAGTCACCGGCACACATCACGCATGAAACCAATGAAGCACTGCATAGCAGATTGGGGGTTAGCCCCCCCAAAGACTTCTTGCAGGATAGCTGGCGACGTGCCCTTGAACGTCTTCAGAACCTCCGAGCAGGCCTTGCTGCAGATGACTACCTGCATGCCATTCCAATTACATCCATTGCGCAGCGTACCCTGCAGGTTTTTGTCAATCCTGAACCACGTGTACCTGAAGACTCTATGGAGGCCCTGTTTTGTCCGTACTGTGACCACCGCAGCAACACCAACTCAGAAGCTCAGGCACATCTCACGAGAGTTCACAAAGCACTCAAACAGTTTGACAGATACGATATTCTTCGTGATGCGCTGCGAGGACTTCCACAATGCACACACTGCGAGCTCAAGCACTCTACATGGGGAGGCCTTGTTAAGCACATCACTCGTGGACACTGCTCACGATTCAACCCTGAGAGATCCCTGCAGGTTCCCCCAGCCGATATGCCCTCACTTCGAGAACATGCTCGCGCGGAAGCTTGGGTGGCCCTGCTTGAGAAGGAGGACCTGGCCAGACTCATACGTGAGCATTGTATCTTGTGCTTTAGGCATTTTGCCTCGGGCACTGAACTCTTGAAGCACCTGAATCTCATGCACCATCAGCAATGGTCGGACGGGAAATTTCAGGAGGCCATCATCATCCATCACCTCCGAGGAACCAAAGCCTGTTTGGCTTGTGGAATCAATCGACCTAAGGCCCATCCATGTCATGCAGTGCGACAACTGGCCATTCTCAAATCATTGGTGGATGATGGGAAGTTTACACATGAACTGGCAACAGGTGTTCCTGTTGCTCTCCATCCTCCTGTTCCTGATGATGAACATACCATTCCTGAAGTGCTCAAAAGGAGAAAAACCACTCCGTCCTCTCTCAAGCGTTCCTTTGAATTCCATCCAGGACGAGACTCAGCTGATGGCACGGCTACATGCAGTCACTGTCACCAAGTACTCCGACATCACTACGGGCTCCGCACTCACATTGAATCCGGCAGTTGCAAGTCGTTCAATCCTTCAAGACCTGTTGGCAATCATGTCCCCTTCACCTGGCCTGAGCTGAGGGCTCTTGTACAGGACCACGAAGTGGAGCAGATCCTGGCCCGGAACGACTTCCTCATGGCTCTGAAGGCATGCTGTGTCCTATGTGGTCGTCAGACACGTCGTCCAGGGGCGATTTTTCAGCATCTTCTCCAGGATCACAAGCACTTGCTGGACCTCTGCAAGGATCTCGACAACCGCTACCAGAATGAAGCTGCTGCCTCAGGACGCCCCTGTCGATGTGGATCAACAGTAACACGAAAAGGACACAAGTGCATTGTCTACACTCAAGTGGCTATCATGCATTATGCACTCCTACCAGTTGATCCTCTCTTCCTTGCAGCTCAATCTCAACCAAAGCCGACACCACCTCCTACAGTGGATCCTGTTGCTGACATTGAGGCCACATCCACCAAAGACATCCAGGCGAGTGCACAGCACTTCTGGTTCAGCCCCACATGGCGTCAGCGCCTCAGCACAACCTGTGCGCTATGTCACATCTCTTGTAATTTGGCAGACATGGAAGAGCGCCTGACGTCGTACCATACACAGTGGATTGATCCTGCCACACGACTGGAAGACCTGACTGTTAGCCCACATCTGGACTGCTGCAACCACTGCTTGAACTCAAGTGCAGTGGTAGAACGGTGCCCAGTAGCAGTGAACCTGGCCTTCCTTCTAGCTTCAGATGGGCAGCTTTCACATCAACCAGGACGACATGATGGGGCAGATGGGGGACACGCTCGGAGCACTCTTCGACAATCCCAGTCTAAGAAGGAAGAGACAACACAGTCGAGAAGAGGAGACATCCGAGACCTCCTACGGGCAAATACAAAAACAACTCAACCTCCTCACAGCCTTGACATTGAGGCACGAGGGGCACCTACAGGGCTTGGCACAACAGGATCAGTTCATCATCTTTCTCCAAGCTTCCCAGAAAGGAGTCCTTGGACACCTGATCCAGAGGACACAAAAATGGAGGAAGGAAGTGGAAACGCAGAATGCCTCCAGCTCGCTCAAGAACGTCCTCTGGCAGCAACTGGTCCAACTCCTCTCGGAAAGGTTTGGTCAACTAGCCCAGGCCACGGGCAACAGCGAGCTATGGAAGGAGGCAATTGCCTCCTCAATGCTAACATCCGCTGGAGCATGGCCCTACCTGATGTGGTGCCCCAAGGATCGTCGACTCAAGATGACGGATCGAACTCCGATCCCAATGGTCAAGATGCAGTCGCAGATCGAAGAACTGGTGGAAATCTCGACACAGCAGGATCAGATCATTCGCTTCAAGTCCTTGAAGGCCACGGGAGAGAACATGGAGGCATCTCAAGTATGCCCATGGCTGATCCAAGTCAGCATGCGACATCAAAGGCTGTGGGAACTCCTCCAATTGCTCTCCGGCTCAGCCCTCTGGCTCCTAATCCAGGCCAGACTCCGACCGCATCAAATGCGGGAGAACCCGCTGGCCAGTGCTCTGGCCAAGAACTCCGTCGACCGCTACCCAAAGAAGAAATGACTGGGCTACTGCTTGCTCTACGGCTACACAACAGCGGGAACACCTGCTACCAGAATGCTGCCACGCTTTCTATGGGGTGGGCCACTCTCCATCTTGCTGATGGGATGTGGAGTGACCTTGGGGATGGAGCGGCCGCCTATGAGGACCTGTGCAGTCAGGAGTCCCTGTGGGTGAATCTCGATTCACTCAAGACCTTTCAGCCATTCCTGCAGGATTGGCGACAAGGTCAACAACAGGACGTGCACGAGTTCATACAGGCCTTTCTACATTGGATGAAGCCACCCAGCATCGGTGTCTCATGGCATAGCCGCCTTGAACATGAGGGGATCGTTCAAGTCTTTGACAGCGGTGCAAAATGGACGCCTCCCACGTTGTCGATCCATGATCCTACATGTCAACATACACATACAAGAGCTCATTGATAGCTGGCACACATATCGAGGGATGAGCACTTCCTTTCAGACCGACAGCCGTATCATTGGTGTGCATGTTGACCGCTATGCTCTGGACCACCAAGGCCAACTCTGCAAACAAGCCTGGCACCTGGATGTGGTGGGAACTGTTCTTGTTCCCATACAACCTGAGAATACACTCCGTGTCAATTTGATCGAGTACCAGGTCATTGCTGGAGTAGTCCACACAGGAGGTGACCGTTGTGGTCACTTGCAAGCAGTGGGCCGTACTAAGGTCGGCTGGTTCCTGTTTGATGATGATGCAGAGGCCAAACTGCTGCATGATGATGGAGCACTCCGCCAGCACTGGACCTTCATGTGGCTGATCCGTGTGGATACTCAAGCTGAGGTCCTGCCTCGGTTTCCAGTTCTTGGACATGATCAAAGGGTCTCCACGCTGGTCAGTCACCTCAAGAAGCTAGACTGGACCCCTGAAAACCATATAGAGCATCTTCCACGGGAGCTTGAAGTCTACTTCAGGGTGCACTGTGCGGCATGTGGGAAGGTGATCTTCAACTTTGAGACCCTGGCCCGCCATTTGCGCCTGAAGCACACGGCCCTTTGGCAGAATATCTTCACGCTGCCAGCAGGACAGATCAGCAATTTTTGTGTATCCCAACTCCCCTGCACCAGATGTGAAACCAAGATTGTCATTTGGGGGCCAGTTGAACATCGGGACCTGACTCACAAATGCCATGTTGAGCTGAACTATCGTGCTGCCCTTGCTTACCATGATGAAACTCTTGCCCCTCAAAGTGACATGTTCACCACCGAAGAGCAGCTGCACCTTGGGGGACTGGCCGCCTGGTTGCATTGAAAATAGCTTGTACCGGAAGCTCGCTACTGCTGTGGCCGCTGCTCCAAGTGACCTCATCTGAGAAGCGGCTGACTGCGCCTGTGAGCATAGGACACCAAACCCTTCTGTTCCTGGAAGGGAAGACTGAAAGTCTTTGGTTGATTTCACCTGCTATGCCAATTCAGCTTGGATCTTTTTTCATTGGCTGAAGGCAGCAGGTTTCTTGATGATGTTTGCATGCATTTTTAAACTCTGAGTATGGTAGGCACACCTTCGAGTCCGACCCCTTTTTGAATGGAGCCGTACAGAAGGCTCCCCTCTTCTTTTGGCTACGTATACCATACTTACTCCATGGCATGGGCCTGGAGGATGGTCGCTTTTCGACTTGAGTTTATTGAATTTGATCCCATGATGAGTGATCTGCAAAAGCGCATTTTCTCACTCTACTTCTCTCTTTTTTGAAGGTAGAGCACCACGGTGCATCAGCTCGCACGGAGCCGGACAAGGATTGTCTGAATGCCCCGCCTCTTGACCTCGGTCGAGTGCGCCACAAAGTCAAAAAAAAAAGTTTGGTCCCCTGGTCCCTTGGTCCTTTGGTCCACTGGTCCCCTAGTCCTCCGGTCTCCTGGTCCTCTGGTCCTGTGGTCCACTGGTCCCCTGGTATCCTGGTCCTTCTGTCTCCTGGTCCGCTGGTCTCTTGCTCTCCTACTACTCCGCTCGTCTTTCGGTCTCCTGGTCCCCTGCTTGCGCAAATAGAGGCTTGATTGCTTTCCACTAGAGGCAGCTCCCTGGGAGGAAAGTAGGTACCCAATGATGGTAGCCGTCCGGTCATTGAGTAGCCCTACTCGAAAAATTGTTCACCAGTAGAAATAGCTCCCGACTAGGAAGGAGGTACACTCTCCTAGTCACCTACTCCTTCCATCCTCTTCCCTTGGTCTCCTAATCCTGCTGCTGCTACTGCTACTGCTACTGCTACTCAGTGGGCTAGAATATTTTTTGATTCCCTTTTTACTTTGTTATTGATCCCCGTTGAATATTTTTTGCTTCTATTTTTATTTTTATTTATTTATCCCTTACCCCTTAATATCAGATTATCACGATCAAGTAATTTAACTTAGTGGGTCGCAGAGTCAAAGGGGCGGCGCCAGTGGCAGCTTCTTTGATATTAAAAGTTTTCCTTTGATCAGATAGCTGACAGATAGATAATTAGGTATATATATTTTTATATATCTGCATATGCAGGGGCTCATTTTTCATGTTTTGGAGCCAAACCTTCACACTTTCCTGGAACGTTGGAACCTGGAAACTCTGGAACCAGGCAACTTGATTTGGAGCGGTTGCCGGATCCCATCACGTTGCATTCCAATGCAAAAGCGCTCTAGTCTGGGCCTGAAGGCCCTTCCGACAATTAAAGACGGAGCCACAGCATAAGTTCACCGACGTTTCTTATCAAACATGGTATTTGCGTTGAGGTCCGTTTACGATATGCTTGTGGAATTTGGGAGCAGCCTTCAGGGGGCTCAACCAGTTTATATGCTGCAAACGTGGCCCATGGGCTGTTAGGCTTCAGACCTCGCACCATGGTTGACATGCACGTAGGGGAGGGGAAAGTCGGTTGGGGCAATGGAGGAGTTTGAGGTGAACGGATTCGATTGGTCGAAGAAATTATAAACACAAAGTGGCCAAAGTAAGCCTCAGAAGTGTCTTCAAGGTGGTCAGGTGTTGACTGACAAGGGAGCGTTGGATCCTTGGTATCAGCCCAGAGGAGTTCAGTGGTGCGGCGTGCACTTTTCACTGAAGGTTGATGTGCTGTTTTCTGGCGTGGTAAGCGAACTTCTTATAGGGTGGAAGGACTTGCTGCAGAGATCCTCGTAGGGCAAGGAGTAGCAAGTTTTGCAGTTCGGGAGCAATGCATTTCCAGACGCAAGGCCGACGAGCTCTGGCAAGAACGGGGCCTGCTGCAGAAGAGACAGGAGCCAAAGTTAAGAGTCCTTTAGAAACACTCAACTGCCAAAAGATTTCCAGGAGCAACGAAGGAAAGCATTGTTGAAGGGGCTGGAGGCTTGTGTTCTCCAGCATTCTGCTTGGACTAACATGCCTCTTTTGAGGACTGACGTTGCCGCGCTGAAAGCCCGCAGCTGCCACACTTTAGCAATTGTCAGATTGCAAGGTTGCGTCACCAACCTGACTGAATCTCTGCCAAGAAGTAAAAAATGCAAATGAATTGGTGTGTTACCCCACCAAGTCATCAACCAACGACTCCTTTGAAGTGACCTTTTTATGCAGTTCGCTCTTTCTGCTGCCATGTTCAACATATCAAGAAAGGGGGGCCTTTTCACTAGCTCCAGAAGTTGCCTCTCAGCTGCCATTTGGGAAGTTGTTGCATGTTTGGCTTCCGTGGGCTAGTGGGATAGGGCTCTTTGATCGCAAGCGGAGCCTCATGTTATGTAAATGCGCGCGCACACACTTCGATAAGGTTCATTCAGAGAGATAATCCACAAGTGCACGGCCCTTGACTTGATGGAACGGGAAGGTGAAAGGGTCTGGTCTCTTGTAAGTGCGTTAACAAAGCGGCAAAGCTGCAAAGACTCAGCGCGGCTGCTCACAAAAACGGCGGATAGGTTTAGGGGAAAGAAACGTGAATCGCCATGGAAGCAAAGCACAGCAGCAGGGTGGACCATTGGAGTCAGTGTGTTGCAAGCAGGCACGTTGGTGAGCATCAGTGTTCGATGCAAGCCTCTTCGTTGGGCTGGGGTGCTTGCATGAACAACCAGCCCCCCTGCTGTAAGAATCGTGGTCACAGAAAGACCCTAGGATACAGGGTGAGGATCACAAAACGCCGCATTGCGGCGCACTGGCACAGGACTTTTCGCTCTCAAAAGCCGTCGGCGTGCAGCTGCCGGGTGCCCCTTGGCCAGGTAGAGGTCGATGAGGTGGTGGACCGCTGTGGTTGCTGCTGAGGGAGGGTAGGTGCATTTGTGAGTTGTGTGGATTCTGGATGCCAGGCCGGAAAGGCACAAACGCTGGCTACCGGCTGGCGGTGAAGAGGTTGAGCGGATCAAAGGAGACCGCAGCCTCAATCGGGGCCATTGGTGCTGCTAAGGGTGCAATGGTGACATCTGGAGACTCAGGGGAAAGTGCCGGCAAGGTGGGAGAAGGAGGGGGGATGGGTTGGTAGCCTGTGGGGACTGGGGGGGTGAGCTTGGTCAGCCAAGCGTTGCAGGTCTTGGAGTTCAGCCCGGCAGGCTTGACATTGCTCGACAGAAAAACCTATGCGGATGGCTACGTAGTGCCAGCTTGGGCGGAGCATTGGGTTGCCCTTCAGGTCAACGAGTTGAACATCTTGGGCAGCACTCCATTCGTCCCAATCACGTTCAGCAGCAGCAGGTGGGTGGCAGCGCGGCCGGCGCTTAAGTGAAGGAGTGGGGTCACTGTTGGTATGTTGAGGTGAGGGGCGAGGGCATAATGTGGTGATTGAGGTATCCTGGGACCTGGGAACCGTGAAAGGATAGGTGGTGCTCCAGCAAAGCTGGATCCATTGGGCGGGTGTGTTGGAGAAACAGAATGTGGATCAGCTCGTTGGAGGGTAGCGCTCAGTTGTGACAGGAGTGCTTGCTGTAATGTTTGCGCGATGTCAGTGGTCATCGGATAGTAGCTGGAGGCTGCAGACCATTGGAGACAGTGTTGAAAGCAGGTACGTTGGTGAGCATCAGTGTTCGATGCAAGCCTCTTCGTTGGGCTGGCACTTGCATGAACAACCAGACCCCCTGCTGTAAGAATCGTGGTCACAGAAAGACCCTTGGATACAGGGTGGGACACACACACAACGATCACATACGCACACACACACAGACACACACACACACACATATATATATATATATCATATACACCGCTTTCAGAATAGATGGGTATATCCGGAAACGAGTAGATGGCACCAGAAAGTGCCAAAAGCGCCTGCGGAAAACCGTGATAAAATAACCATTTACCTACGCATCCTCAAGCATAATAAATGGCATTCCACCCATTCACAGAGTAGACTTGCGCCATCTTCTGCAAAGAACACTGATATAAGTCGTTGATTTTTGTAGACAACCTCTCTGTTAAATTCCAATTGTTTTTAATGTTCTTCTCTTTTAACTGTCTTTCTCTCTCCTTCTTTCATATTCTATCTCTCTCTCTCTCTCTCCTTCTCTTCCTTTCTCCTTTGCTATCCTTTCCTTAATGTCTCCTTTCCCTCTCCTTGGATGCCTTTCTTTTCTTTCCTTTCCTTCATTCACTTCTCCTTTCTCTATCCTTCCCTTGCCTTTCCCTTCACCTTTCCCTTTGCTTGCACTTGCACCTGAACCAGTAACAGAACGCTGCACGATAAGAGCCCAGTAGATGGCACAACCCTTGTGTGAAAAATGATTAGGATGGTTGAGCCAATAGATACTGCCAAGTAGATGGCGCAACCCTTGTGTGAAAGATGATAATTATGGTGGAGTGGCGCCTATAGATTGGAAAGGTGGCTTGCGCCATCTAATGTCGTGCTTGCTGCTTTCAGGGCCAAACATTTTATAGCAGTCTTTCACGAAACGGATTGTAAAAGTAGATGGCGCCAAACCCATCCCCGACTAGTAGTTTCCCATTCATTGTCGCGGCTTTTCGCCTAACATGGCTTGCGCCATTTGCATCTGGGATTTTTTCGTTCCAGAGGCGTTTTTCCCTACACAATAAATGGCTCATTACAAAAACCTGAGCCAAGTTTTCTGACAATAGAGTATATTTTTTTCATCAGGCACACACACAGATATCGGTGGATGAATGGATGGGTGGATGGATGGATGAACGGACGGACGGACGGACGAACGGACGGATGGATGGATGGATGGAGTGTAAGCTTGCAAAGGCTGTTCTATTTTTCTAAGATATATTTGGTTCATTCTGGGTGCGTTGAGGAGTTTGTGTGAGGCTGGTATTGCAAGATGGGCACATTGCGTGTCCAGCATCCTTCAAATATTATCCATGCAAAATGCTGTCCCGTAGAGTTCTGGCAAGCAACGAAGAGGGGAACTTCAACCTCAAGCAATCTGCCTGGGGTGACCAAAAGTGATGACCAATTTAAGATTAGGTGGTCAAGCTGGTATAGCTTGGCAGTCTGGTAAACGAGGACGAGGATGACGACGAGGTACCCTTACGACGAGGACGAGGGGTGTTTAATACATAGCACCCTCGTCGTAAAAGTAGTCCGTGTGTTGGCCAAGGCTTCAAGAGCTTGGTCCTCATTCTGATGTAGATTATTTCACCCATATGTGGCAACTTCCAAAAATGCAAAAATGCAAGTGCCGCAACACTCTGACCAACTTTAACATAACACCAGTTTACCTCTGAAACGGGCAAACAGTGGACCAGTCATAAGTCACCACAAGGCCTTCACAACCAGGCAATCTATAGGTCCTTCACGTCGTAGCACTTGTTTTTGCCAAACAATTGCGTTTGATCACTTTCAACTTGGCTGTGGACCGTTCAAACCCAAGGTCTGAAGGAGTTCAAAAGCAATCCACCGCCAAGGTTTTTGCCAACACGCCACCAAACGTACAAGACTCTTCGCATACATTGCGCGCGGCCAGAATGGCCACTTGTGGCCGAGGCCGAAGATGGCAAATTTCAGCCCATACCCAGGAAGCCCTTTTTCATGTCATTTTATTGTCACATTTTTTCATTTGCTTCAGTTGCTTGCTTTGTCCACGCCTTGCGAGTAGCCTTGTCAGCCCCTCTATGTGCTCTTCCACAGGTGTGTTTTCTGGTCGGCGGAACCCATCCGGAAAAGCGCCGCATGGATGGTCAGCAGCCTTGCAATCGAGAAAGTATGAGGCATGCCCGTTGGGCAAACAAGTGAACCAAACGACCAATCGAAATAGGATAAAAGACATGACTGTGTGGAATCCACATTTCACAATGCCACTTGGCCCCTTCTTGACTCGTCGCTGGCAAATTTTGAAACTTGTGGTTCATAACCATATGGACAGGAGGATGCTTTGACGCCTTTGGAAAACAAGCGGGAGGCGCTGAAGATTTGTCAGCAGTCAGGGGTGCCAATACCCTGGAAGGGGCACTCGGCTTTATGATATTTTCGATGTAGACCTGTGAGAACAATAGCAGGTTTGCAGAAGAGAGGTTGAGAATTACATTTCAATGCAAACCATCAAGTCATTGCATGTGCAGCAAGCAGAGGTTTGATATTTACGGGCTGCCACATGTTTCTGGCTGCCTTGGGAGGAAGTGATCCGATCAACTCATCAGATTCACTGCAGAACATGAACTCTTTTGTGTTTTTGAGGTTAGTACTGTACATACTCTTCACGCAATGCTCTCTTGAAACTGGGCGCGTGTGTTTGGCAGGCAGTTGCCGACAAAGCCAGCTCAGAGAGCGCCAGTGGCGGTGGGGGAGGAGGTGCTAGCACGTACTATCAGAAGATGGCATGGAACTCGCAATTTCACGAATCACTGCTGCGCTTCGTTGCTGCTTCGAAGCCGTTAGGTGCCCAGTTACCTTTCATGATTCAAAACTTGTACCTCGCTCCATTGAAGCCTGCAGCTGGCCCAGCTTACACTATGACGAGAATGCAGCCGAAGGACGCCGTGCCATTCACGAATCTTTCCTTTCACTACGAACACGTCATGCTTCAGGACGTTGAGAAGCCATCCTGGGCACACTGAGACGACAATAAGAAATCCTGGAAGGGGAGAGAAGGGGAGCAAGGTCTTTCACCAAAGCTTCTTCCGAGTACAGTCGGCAAGGGTGCGAGATACAAAAGACTCTCCAGTACGGTTCTATGCATTTGTATAAATATATGCACATGACTATGATGTGACTCGCAGCTGTGCAATGTCATGCTTTTAATTTGTTGCGCCTATTTGCCGCCTCGCGCTTCAGACTCATGTCCGGCGTTCTACGCATGCAGCTGAACACATTCACTCCCATTTGGTTAGCAGGTAGGTGAGAAATCACATTTATTATTTGGGACATCTAGTTTCTGCTGCTGCCTCATTCTTGTGATGCTGCTACGCTAAGCTTGTAATTCTGGGCCAGCAGTGAGAACATCCTCATGGAAGCCGACGGTCAGGCGCTGCTGACGTTGGTCACCAAGCCTAGCATTTGGTTCTAGTCGTCCCCTGCACTTTTGCTGGTTTTGTGCGTCAGCATGTGTCCCAAACCATCATTCGGCAAAGCTTCCAACAACGAGCGCCAAAACTTTGAACGGGGCACAGCCACAAGCCATTATTGTTGGATACCAAGAATCGAGAACATTCATAATTCATGTGTAGTGTTTTTTCAAAAACGGGTGCTCCTAGGCCTAGGAGATGATTTTTGTACAAAAAGTGATCACGAACACAGTGTTTTACCGTGGTTTTTGGCTGACGCATCACAAAAGCCTAGGTTTTGAGCCATGTTTTGCTCCAATGTGTTTGTTCAATGCAAAAATCAGTGCCAAGAAGAATACATGTGAGGAACGTGCTTAGAGCCGACGAGTTTGCTAAGGACAAGAAAAAGAAGCGATCACACCAAAATACCAAAATAACAAAACAGTCACATTAAAAAAACAACAACATGTGTGAGACAAAATGACGGCAGAGCAAAAAACATCCAAGCCCTTTTTTGGTATTGTTCCCCACCTGTCAGGTGAGGGTTGTTAGGTTTATGTCAGCTGCCTTGCTTGCTCCTCCTCCTCCTCCCCCATTCCTCCTCCTCCTCCTCCTTCTCCACCTCCTCCTCCTTCTCAACCGCAAGTGTGGGATGGCAGCGTTCGGCCAGACCTCAAGAGCAGTGTTCTCCGCCGGACCTCAACCGCAAGTGTCGGATGGCAGTGTTCCACGCCGGACCTCAACAGCAAGTTCCGCTTGGCAGTGTTCCCCGCCGGACCTCAACCGCAAGTCAGAAGATATGAAAGCTTTTACCTTTGATCGGGGCGCCAACGTGAACTGGGCCGCCAAGTAAGTGTCAATCCGTAAAGTCTATTTCTTCGGTTTTGCCTTCACTGCTGAAAAGCATTTTGGTTGAAATGTTATATGACTAGTATCGCTCATGTATGTGCCCTCAAAGTTTTGGAAAACATGCCATTAGAAAACGTACATAGATGAAGTCTATTTCTCAGGGCTTGGTCACTGCTGAAAAGCGTCATGGCTGAAAAGCATACCTTTGTTATAGCCATAGGGCCATAGTATCACTCATGCATGTGCCCTCAAAGATTTTGGAAAACATACCTAGGTGAAGTCTCTTTCCCAGGCTTGCTTTCATGGCTGAAAAGCATCACTGCTGATAAGCCTACATTCATGTTTGGTATATGGATGATATGGAGAGCTTATGGGACATCACTGAGGCACTTGTCAGGCACCTCAACCTCTGTCACTTTGTCAGGTACCTGCCAGAAGCCGAAAGGCACCGTATGCCGAAAGGCAAACAGGCAGGGGCTTCAGCTTAGTTGCTGATGGCCGAGAGGCACCGCATGCCCGAAGGCAAACAGGCAGGAGCGTCCTTGCATTTTTTCGTGTAAAAGGCTGAAAAAGTTGGGAACTTTCGCGCAGTATGCGTGAGATGTCGGGTTCGAGCATGGGATCGAGTTCCACGAGACTGCAGAAAAGCGGATCGGGTTCCACTCGCAGGGATTTCGGACCTGGCGTCATCTCCTCGACTCCAAGCTTGTGACCAGGAGGATGAACGCCAAGGATTCTTGGGGACTATGACCCCAAGAGGAGAAGGATTTTCAAGTTTCATGCGCAAGATCGAGGGCCCGAAGTACCCTTTTCCCGCATCACCTCCGAGGCATTTGCTTGTGGAGAACGCGCGTGGCCTAGTTAAGATAGTCAGGCCATCAAACAATGGAGTGAGTGGAGAACCGCATGGAGAGGGGAGGTGATGCAGTTAAGGAGGAAGTTTTCCAAGCATTGAGCTCAACGCTAGTGA